TCCTGCTGAAACCCCCGTCCCCTAGGGGCTCACAGACCCAGCATCCAACACACAGACTGGCCAAAGGACCCAGGCCAGTTGACCCAGGTCCTGTCAGACCACCGCTCCCAAGCCTCACAGTTACTGTCTTTCCACCCCTAGACTGACGTGGCTTGCCTCACCTTGGCATCAACCAGTGGGTGCTTCAGCATGGGTCAGTCCGGCCTACCCACAGTTCAGCTCCTGTTGATTGGTGATACATTCCAGGTGGTTGTGGACAGCCCCAGCTCCTCCTGCAAGCTGGTTCTCAGATCTGCCAGTGGAGTTCTAATTGCCTGTTGCTGTAGCCTAGTGGCTAAACCCTTGTATATGCTTGAATCACATTTGGGTACCAATTAATGTCCCAGATGTTCTACTTCCCATGCAGCTCCCTGCTGGTGGGCTCGGAAAGGAGTAGAGAATAGCCCAAAGCCTTGGGAATGTGCACCTGCATTAGAGACCAGAAAGAAGCTTTTGGCCACTGGCTTCAGATCAGTTCAGCTCCAGCCATTGCAGTCACTTGGAGAGTGAATGAGCAGGGATGGAGACCTTTGTCTCTTCTCTGCAAATCCTTTTTCAATACTTTGGATTGTGTGAATACAATAAATTTATAATGCGGTTTTTCTTATTTAGTATGTTATCCATTACTGACAGGCAAAAGTGCTTCAGATTTTAGCATGAATCAGTTTTCGAATATTTAAATATTTAATTTTTTTGGAAAGCCAGATATAAAGAGGAGAGACACAGGGTGATCTTCCATCCATTCGTTCACTCCCCAAGTGGCCTCAACGGTAGGAGCTGTACCCATCCAAAGGCAGGATACAGGAGTTTCTTCTGATTCTCCCATGCAGGTACAGGGTCCTGAGGCTTTAGGCCATCCTCTACTGCTTTCTGAGGCCACAAGCAGGAACCTGGCTGGGACAGGAACTGGCTGGATGGTACACAAACCAGCTGCAGTATGGGATTCCAGCGCATGTAAGATGAGGACTTTAACCACTAGAATACCACAGCAGTCCGAGTTTCAAGTGTTTAAATATATATAAACCATTTTACTACTACTAATAAAATCCTTAGTATGAATAAATCAAACTAGAGTACCCAAATACCTGAAAAAACATTTATCCTTATAAGAGGATTCTGTGTTGAGAGTGTTGAATAGGCAGTAGACATAAACAAAGCAACTGGGTATCAGATGTGATCTATCCCAAGCAGCAGCAAAACCTGCTGTATCATGACATTCAATCCTCTAAGTCTGATGGTTTTCTCCAGCTGTTGCTATAATATAAGTATTTAATGAGGTAAAGTAAAAATACATTTCAAACTATGTTGCTGTCATATTTATAGATGTCCTATGGGCCAAAGCAAATGAAATGGCAAAGTCAAGTGTCATTGAAGGTTTAAGAGCTGGGAAGTGACATTGAAGTCTTAGGAAGTTTCAGTTGGAGCAGTTACTAGAAAGTTGTAGAGAGTAAATATGTATTATATCAATTTTTCCCGTATAAGTGCAGATACAATTACTCTAATTGAAAAAGTCTGCTTTCAACATTTTTAATATTAGCAATAAATGTTCTAATGAAAGTCCTTATATGGAGTCCTATGCAGCTCATCTACAAAAACAAATACTTAATACCCCTAATTATTTTTGAGTAGCATAAATTTCAGTGACAATATTTTTTTATGGTATGTTGTAATTTGAACAGTGGTTGAGAAAAATAACTAAGTGCTTGGCAGTAATATTTTTAATTTTAAGTAAGTATAAAACGTTTGCTTTAGACAGTAGAAAGTTTTCACTTTCAACAGAATCAAGGTGGTGGAATAGGGTAAGAACATGTTTAAATGGACAGGAAAACATTTAATCAGGATGAAGCAGAGAGGACATATTTCAGGAAATAGGAAAGGACAGAACAACAATAGCAAGAGCAGAGGAGTATCTGGAGACTGACAGACACAGGAAAGCAGTGGGAACAAAGGTGTAGTGTTGCAGTGAATGATACTCGAGCGGCATTCAGCTAATGGCAATCTGAACTCTGCCAGCAGCTGGAACTCCACCAGCAACCAGGTAGGAAGGGACTTTCACTGGGAAATTGGGAGGTGAACCCAGACAAAGAACTGTCCATCCTGCTGGTCCATTTGATTTGACCAGGAGCAGAGACTGAGGAGCAGATCTCAGATGGGCAGTGTGAGAACAGGGTGGATTTCAGGGCCCAATAAGCCCCCTAGAGCTGAATTGGGCCCCATTTTGCATAAGAGGGCAAAAACAAGGGAAAGGACTAAGCATTTGCTGAGCTGGGAGTGAGCTCATTTCTGACTCAGTGAACTGCATCCGCGTGGCATTCTACAGGTTCCCCCCGGGGCAGGTCTGGGTAGCCCTCGGATCAGATGGCCAGCAGATCAAGAACTGTAATGCTGGTACATCAGGCACCATTTTGTACACTGTGGCAATAGCTTTAAAACATCAGGGGACAACAGTGAACCGTGCATGTGCTGAGTTCGTGAGAACTCACTGAGGTGAGTGGATTGAACTGGCCCCGCAGGAAAATAGTACTGACTATGGCATCGTATGGGTCTAAATAGGTCTGTGGGGTACCCAGACCTAATGTCCAAGAGGTTTTGATAAGATCAGCGCCACCAACAACCTAATTATATAGGACAACTGGTGTCTCTCATCCTGGAACCTACTCCAACTATAAGTGGGAGAAAGCTTGCAGAGACAATGGTGCAGCCTCAGCATGGTATCACAGGAGGTAGAGAGTGGTGAGCCAGGAGCTGGGGCTGTGGAGACCATGGTGGAAATCTGACATAAGAACCCAGACCTGGAACATGCTGGAGGTTGTGGCACAAGTGGCTGCAAGCAAAAGTTGTATACCAACTGCAATAAGTAGAGTTAAACTGTATACCTGAGTGTGAAGCAGCTTAGAAACCTGCCCCAAGGAGAAGAAGACTCTGCTAACCAGAAGTACAATGACCAAGAGCAAAAGAAGAGACAAAGGCACAATGAATATTACTGAAAACTCCCCTGCAAAGGAGCAAAGCCCTGTGCCAACCTCAGAGTTCATGAAGAAGACATCTAAAAAAATGGGGGACACAGAATCCATAAGACTCATTTTAAAGATTCTGATCAAAAATGAGAAGCTCAAGCAAGAGTTCAAAGAATTTAAGGAAGCAGTAAAGCAAATCAAGGCTGGAATATCAGAAATTAAGAACACAGTAGAGCAAATTAAAAATACAATGGAGAGTCTCCAAAATAGAATGAAGCAAGCAGAAGAAAAAATCTCAGAATTGGAAGATATTTCCTGTCTCGAGGGGGAAGCAAACAAAAAGCTGGAAGCAGAGCTGGATCAGGCCAAAAAAGTATTAAAGAACTGAAAGACACTATTAAGAGGCCAAATATATGAGTTATGGGAGTCCCAGAAGGTGCAGAAAGAGAAGCTGAGTTTGCAAATGTATTTAATGAAATAATCAAGGAAAGTTTCCCTAATCTGGAGAAAGAATTGGGAAACAAGATCCAGGAGGGGCACAGAACTCCCAGTAGGCTTGATCAAAAGTGATTTTCCCCAAGACACATGATCATCAAGCTCTTTTTAATTGAACAGAAGGAAAAGATCCCTTAAATATGCACATGAAAAAAAAATCAACTGACATATAAAGGAATGCCAATTAAACTCACAGGAGATCTCTCACAGGAAACTCTACAGGCAAGAAGAGAATGGAGTCACAATATTCCAGACTCTGAAAGAAAAAAATTGTCAGGCTAGGATAACATATCCAGCAAAGCTTTCTTTTGTCTTTGAAAAGGAAATCAAATTGTTCCACAGAAAAGAAATGTTAAAAGAATTTGCCTCTTTCAAACCTGCCCAACCCAAAGGCAAATGGGAAGAACATCCACCAAAACCAAAGGCAAATGGGAAGAACATCCCAATAAAATGACAACAGAAGATTAAACCAATGAACAACCCATTTCTAAAATGAGAGGACCAAAGTATCATCCGTGCATATTAAACTCTGAATGTGAATGGCTTAAACTCAATTAAATGTCATAGCTTAGTAGACTGGATTGAAAAACAAAACCCATCTGTTTATAGTCTGGAGGAGACACGCTTAACAAAGATCACCAGAAAATATATTGCATGTGTTTTGTTGTTTTCTATTGGTTTCATCTCTTCAAAATACTTTCTTCTGATTAAATCATGTAATGGCTCATAGATCATGCAGTGATATCATTTTCTTCAAGAAGGTTCTTGATTTTCACTTCTTCAGCTACACGTTAGCCTTTCTATTGTTGATTTTGTATCATAACTTTTCATTTAAGGGGATGTACAGTAGTTGTGTAATGGAGACTGTCATATATAGTAACGTGTGATTGAACTTCATGGCATTGTACATTCCTATTTTTCTTTCTATTGTTGATTTTGTATCATGACTATTTAAGGGGATGTACAATAGCCTTGCAATGGAGACTCACATCCAGATGTGAGGATGCAGTGTGGTATGCATTTCTTCTTCCAGACAAAGATGGACTTACAATGAAACTGTTTACTATATTTTGACAATAAGATGCTGGACTCTCTGCCATTTTCCATGCCAGCAATGATGGACATATGAATGTGTATGAAGAACTATATGTTAATAATGATATAGAGGTATTAGGTGGGGGGAGGGAATTTTGGAGGTGATGAGCAAATTTGGAACTGTATCATAAAAGATAATAATAATAGAGTGCAAAAAAATGTTTGCTTTAAGCTAATAACAACTTGAATTTAATCACTGTCAATTATTGAATTTGTTTATGCTGTTTCTAGGATGGCTTCGTGGCACTTGTCATCTGTAATGCACTATTCTTGCCCAGGAAATTGGATAGCCTTTATTTCTCTGGCCGTTGTGTCTGGTTCCTGCCTTGACATTACTTACACAATAGGAAATAATAAGGAAACTTGAGAAAGCAAAACCAATTTGTAACTTCCTCTGTGCACCTTTTCTTCCAGGTGTTTCACTGAAACACACTACATGCTTCCAAGTCTAGAGAACACAAACACACTTTCAGTAAGTTGTATGTTTATGTCTCAGCTTGTTTTACATTGTGCTGTAGAAGCTTTATGATGGTTTTCTTAATCTGATACAAAGAAATAAGTATGAGAGGAAGAAGGTAAGATTGTCATAACTAGACATTGGAGCAGTTAAATCTGATTCAAATTTTCCCTCCAAGTTTTCTGATGATATAACTAAGATATTTATTACATGATTCAAATTAAAAGTAAGAATTTATTAATTATTGAGGGATATCAAGTTTAAAATGGTGTTTATTGATGTTACAGATGATATAAAGAACATCATTCAGTTCCAACCTGAAAATAGCCACTCAGCATTTGGGAGTAGTAAGAGTTTCCAAATATAAAAATAGTTTTCAAGTTTTCAATTTTGCTTTTTGAAATTGCTGAAATGGTATGGTGCCTAGCAGCATTTGGAGGTTTTTATTTATTTTAAAAACTGAGTTAGCTACTTGTTACAAAAAGCTAGTTCTGAATGAGGCTGAAGTTCACTGTAATTAAAATATTAGCTTAATTTAATTGTGTTTTCATAAAAAGAAAAAAATAGAAAAAAGAAAGGATTTTAATATATACATTCTCCAAAGTAAAAAACAAAAAATCACATATGTATTTAAATCCAGAGTAAGCTGTATTAACTCTTCACTCATTTGTGTAAGTTTAATTTAAAAATTTTTTCCAATATTTCATTTTTTAAGTTGAAATAGGAAAATTGAATTTTATTAATGTCACTTTATACATTTTTAAAATATCAGCTTGTTTGAGAAAAATATCATGAATCATTTTCTCACTATTCTATCCATTATTAATCATGTGTCTTTCTTATCTAATCTTGCATGTAATTTAGCTCAATGTTCATATTTATATGTACAGATTACACAGTGAGCTCATAATTATTTGATAAAATGATCTTACAGAGTGATAAAGGAATTGCATTGTAACTTCAGAATTTCAAATACAATGTAGGACAAGATGTTTTTAATTTTGTTTTTACCTTATGTTGCCATACAGATTGTAAAGTAATCTGTGTCTTTAGAAGATGCAAAATAAACATGCGAAGAATAGTTCTCCTGAGCTGAAGCTTTAGTCATATCCTTCACAAGACTGAACATGAGACATTCATGGATACAAATTCTGTTGTTAATGTATGGTTTTTAACACAGAACAGACTCACTTCCTAATCCTATGCCTTAAGTGAGTGATCCAGAAAACTTTACCCCGCTTTGTAGCTGAGAAATCAGTAGAGAAGACACCAATATATCTTTCTTATAAGAAGAAATTCTACAGAAAGTGAATATGGGGGAACATGGCAGTTGGAAATCACTCAGCTTACTATTACAGGCACTAAATTTATATTTTTGCTCAGTGTTAAAATGCTTATATATTTTAATTTAATTGAAAAGCAGAGTGGCAATAACAGTGACAAACAGAGTGATATCTTCTACTTGCAGATTTATTCTAATGATACCTTCTATATTTAATGAAAATCAGAGTCATTAGAGGAAAGAATCTGCAACAAAATAATAAGGGATAGTCTATTGTAGTTTTGGAATTGCAAAAGTAATGCAGAATGAGTATTTTCATTTTGCTTTTAATCTATAATGCCATATAGATTATAAATTAAGCTGCATTCATATAAGCTGCAAATCAAACATACGTGGAAGAATGTACTGCCAGTGATCCAGAACTGAGGAGACATGTGTTGTTGCAGGTGTTGGTGTCATTTGAAGATGTGGCTGTGGACATTACCCAGGAGGAGTGGCAGATCATGGACAATACTCAGAGGACCCTGTACAGGGATGTGATGCTTGAGACCTATAGCAATCTGCTGTTCGTGGGTGAGTGATAATCTGTCATGCCCAAGCAGAATACTTTCTTTATATTTGACAAATTAAAGAAGAACTTATAAAGTTTAGTATCTAGTAGGACTAGTATTTGAGGCTTTAAAGAATCTTAATATCTATTCTTCAGATAATGATTCATATTAGCCATTTTGTGACTCAGATTCTAGATCCAATCTTTTCTTCTTTAAGCTCCAAGATAGTGATTTCACAAAATCGCTATTATTTTCAATTAACAGGGTATCACATAACAAAACCTGATGTGATCTTCAAGTTGGAACAAGAATCAGTACCATGGACTGCGGAAAAATCTGTACCCCAGCAACTTTCAGGTAGGGCAGTACATACTGGGAAGCGAAATTGATATGTATCTCAGTAAATATTCATTGAAATTCATGTTGATTTTTTTTTTATGTTTCTTCCAAAATCAGGTTATGTCATGCATGAGACAAAGGCACTCTACAGTCTCCATATACAGTTTTATTCTAACAATGCTTTCAAATGTTAAAATTGATCAACCTGAAACCAAAAATGTAGAGCTAAATATTGACCTTTTACATGATCCCTGCAAGATAAGACAAACTGGAACTGTTATGCGATGTAATGCATTACAAGCATTAGTTTGAATTGCTGTACCATATTTTCTGTCCTACTCCACATCAACTTAAAATATAAAATCTCAAGTAATTGAAAATTGAAAAAGAAACCCTATTTATTGTATTAATGTATTAACTTAAAAAGTGTAATGATCATAAATGTGTGCATTTTTTGAATATTAAAATCTGTTATATCTAGATTGGCAAGAAACATCATTGTCTTACTTGAGCATTTGAAAAGAGATACTTAGATGTGATTCACAGATATGGTTACTCTTTTTCCTCTTTTCAGATCCTTACACAAAGAATGAGCTGCTTGGAACTAATCCAGAAAATCAAGAAACCACTTTCAGGCAAGTTGTAATAACAAAAATTGTATAACTTCAAAAAGAGTTGCATTGGCAAAGATGATTAATTTAAGCTCTGGCCATAATTGACGCGTGCTATGAAAAGCTATGGAGAGGAAATTGTATAAAAAAGAAAGTAGAAATATGTCTCTTTTTTTTGTTTATTTGAGAGAAGTTTTATTTGCAGAGTTACCAGGTGAATGTAGAAAGCAGAGGGAATGGAAAAGGACCACCTCAGAGAGGAAGAGATAGATGGGGGATACCTGTTGAGTGGAGAGAGGGAGATGCACCATTTTTCAGAAGGGTCTTGGATTTTTAAGTGTTGTATGACTCCTCCTTGTCTGAGGAGGAACCTGTGGGAAGACATTTCCCATTTGTTGTCTCTCAATCAATAGCTCCTATTGTGTAGTTTCAAATGTACTCCTCCTGTTCTATTGCTGTACAGGTCTCAGATTTTGGAAGCCACATGGGTGATAGAACTGAGACAGGAGTCAAAATAAAGAAACTGGTCTTAGTTCGTCTCAGGGGTGTAGGGAGAGTCATCAGAGGTGCATATGAGTCAGTTCAAATAATCAAAACCAAGCATAATACTTGTCGGAGTGCCATGAGCCAGTCCTCCTTCACTAAGGATAAACCAACATGAAACATGAGAAAGAAGCTTGGCACTTGGGTACCATGCCAGGTCATCAGCATTCAGAATTCACCCAGGGAGTTTCCCATCATGCAAAAAAGTAGCCTCTGAGAGGGACTGTCAGTCCTCCACCAGGTTTCTTCGAAACACACACCCAGAGCCATACTCCCAAAGGAGAAATTGAGATGATAGGAAACAGCAATTCATCCCCCTTAAAAAAAGAACCTATTTGGAGTTTCAACCAGAGCTAGGTGGTGGACAGTGGATGGGGTGGAGGGATCCATCTTTATGCAGAACCATGGGGTATCAAGAGTCATTTTCAAGGTTCAGTCCCACTTGAGGGAAAGCACACCAACACGGTAAATTCTTTCTGTTGAGTCAAGCAACATGACTGGTATAAGAAGCCATTTCATGCCCTGTATTGGACACCAGAGAAAATGTTACCAGGAATCTCAGTGGCTGTTTCCTCAGCTTAGTATGGGAACAGAAACTGGGACTCAGTTGCTTACAGAAGGTTTGCTTCTGAAGCGACCAGGTGAACTTGGAAGAAGAGGGGAGGTGGGAAGTGTGTCCCAGGAAAGACTCAGAGATGGGGTACCTTTTGAAGAGAGGAAAGGACACCATAGTTTATTTCAAAATGTGTTTTTTTCCTAGGAAGCCTGATGAAATGTCACTTGAGAAAAAGCATGCCTCTAATGTTCCTGAGAACAAACTCCAATTTGCAGAAAAGCTCAGTCAGCATGACAAGATGTACACTTGTAAGCAATCTTTTGAACACAATGGAAAAGAAAAAACTTTCAGCACGAAGATGTTCCTTAAGTGTAAGAAAATTTGTATCAAAGACCCATTTAATGACCCTATCATTGTAGGAGAAACAATTCAGGTTGACAAGAAAATGTTCCATAGCAATCCTTATTTTGTCAAGCATCAACAAACACACTCAGGAAAGAAACTCCATGAACCTTTCAAGAGTGAGAAATGTCCTATTTATAAAAGAGATCTCAAAATAAATCAGATAATCCAAATAGCGAAAAGTCACTATATATGTGGCTACTGCAAACAGTCTTTTAGCTGTAACTCTAGCTTAATCACCAAGAAGTGCAGTGAAATTGGAGAAAATTTCTCTGTGTGCAATAAATGTAGCAAAAATATTTACCAGAAGTCAGAATTCACTAGAGAGAAGATGCTTCCCACTGAGGAGAAACCGTATGATTGTAATGAACCTGTAAGATCCTTTTGCACTCAATCAGGTCTCCTTACACATCAGAGAATTCACACAGCGGGAAAATCATACAATTGTAATGAATGTGAGAAATCTTTTTGTCAGAAGTCATCCCTAATCAGACATCAGAGAATCCACACAGGGGGAAAACCTTATGAATGTAGGGAATGTGGAAAAGCCTTTTGCCAGCAGTCCAGTCTCATTGTACATCAGAGAATCCACACAGGGGAAAAACCTTATAAATGTAGTGAATGTGGAAAAGCTTTTTGTCGGAAGTCACACCTAACTGTGCATCAGAGAATCCACACAGGAGAGAAACCTTACAAATGCAGTGAATGTGGAAAAGCTTTTTGTCGGAAGTCACAGCTAAGCATACATCAGAAAATCCGCACAAGGGAAAAAGCTTATGAATGTATTGATTGTGGAAAAAGTTTTTATTCAAAGTCACACCTAACTGTGCATCAGAGAATCCACACAGGGGAAAAACCTTATGAATGCAGTGAATGTGGAAAACGTTTTTATTCGACGTCACAGCTTATCACACATCAGAGAATTCACGCAGGAGTAAAAGCTTATAAATGTACTGAATGTGGAAAAGGATTTTGTCGGAAGGCACACCTAATCCGACATCAGAAAATTCACACAGGAGAAAAACCTTATAAATGTACTGAGTGTGGAAAAGGTTTTTGTCAGAAGTCACACCTAATCGACATCAGAGGATTCACACAGGGGAAAAACCTTATGAATGCAGTGTATGTGGAAAAGCCTTTTGCCAGCAGTCCGGTCTCATTGTACATCAGAGGATTCACACAGGGCAAAAACCTTATAAATGTAGTGAATGTGGAAAAGCCTTTTGCCAGCAGTCCAGTCTCATTGTACATCAGAGGATTCACACAGGGGAAAAGCCTTTTAAATGTAGTGAATGTGGAAAAGCATTTTGTCAAAAGCCATCCCTAATTAAACACCAGAGAATACACACAGGAGAAAAAGCGTATGAATGCAGTGAATGTGGAAAAGTGTTTTGCCGTAAAAAAGACCTAATCAATCATCATAGAGTTCACACAAGATAAAAACTTTTTCAGTATGACGAGTATGGAAAATCTTTTTGTTAGCAGGCAGTTATTGCATAAACTAAGTCACATGCCTGAAGAAATGTTGAAAAACTCATACACAAAAAACATTGATTGCACTAGAAAGCAAAAACTAACATGAGGTCACAGTTCACTAATATATCCATAAGGAGCAACAAAAATATTGCATTGCCTAAAAACAATCATATTTTCTGAAGTCAATTCTCTGCAGATCCTATGAAGCTAAGAAAAACAAAAGTATGTAAACAGAAAAAACTAGCTAGTATAAAGCTACTCTCAGTCAAATCGTATAAAGTCCAAATCAAGCATTAGTAAATTACAGATAGGATACATTGTAAAATTGCAGTAGGATGTGTGAAAGTCTCAACAATTGTCAAATAATAAACATGAGGTGTGTCATATTTCTGAAGAAGGCTATGTGTTGCTAAAATATTTGAAATGGAATCTACCTGATGTAATTTTGTTGTAAATAAGTTCTGCTTTCACATTTTAATTTTGAAAATAAATATTCTGTGTATAACACTTGTTTTGAATTCCATATAGCATTTATGCAGTTATCTAGTATAGCTTTTTTTATAGTGCTAATTCACAAATATTCTATAATAGATTAATATGGGACTCACAAATATCAACCGATGCATGTGGCAATTGTAATGCTAATAACCCAGTTTTAAAGGATGAATTTTTTGTTCAGAATGGGGAGTGATTCATTTGTGACATCTGGCAAACTGGATCACTTTTGGCCCTTGTCTAATTATTGCATACTTTTAGAGGTACATGCAAGAGGCATAAGAATTGTTTGGCATCTGACTTGTGATATGATAATGGCCACTGCAGTTTAAATATCAGCTGCCACAACTACTGTCACGTTCATGCTGATTTCCTGCACCATGGCTTCCGACAGCAAGCTTCTTGCCAATGAATGCCAACCTGTGCCTAATGTCTTTCAAATATGAGGATGAACATCAGATCCAGCCCTATAAGATAGTTGTGTAAGGTTCTGGTTATCCTACTGTGGCAACCGAGGGCACAATTGGTTCATGTCCTAGCTGATTCAGTTTTGACCTATCTCCTAACTTTTGGCTTCACACCAGCTCAACTACTTTTGTTGCAATCATTTGGGATTTGAATCAATGGAATAAAGGTGCCTCTCTGCTTCTGTCTCTATTATAATTCCATGTTCAGATGAATTAAGAAATGTTATTTTAAGCATGGGCATCATGACTGATGCTGAGGTAAGTGAAATATTTAGTATTAAGCTCATTGGCATGGTCCCATCTGTGAAAGCCTTGACTACTTCTATTACTTATTTAGAGACATGTCCCTATCAAGGTCCAAAATGCTCAGCATCAAATACAAGAGAGGCCTCTTTTTCTGCAGAATGTATCATGTAACATATTATCAATGCCTTTAATTCCAGGATGAAGTTTGTGCACATCTAAGTTGTTTCCACCAGCATTCTCATGTGAGCCCCTAGCTGTGATTCCACTGATATTGATACTGACTAGATCCTGGCCAAGGTCCTCCCTAGGAACACACCTCAGAGAGACTACTGTGCAGTGAGATTTATTTAATGTTTTGCAGTTTCCCTTTTCAAACATTTCCAATTGCTCTGACAGTATTCTAATGTCCTTTGATTCTTCTCATTGCCTCCTAGAAAGGTGGAATGGGGAAATGAAGGGATTTGTGAGGGTTGAGATGAAATAGTATGTATATAATCAGGTTATAGATCCTGCTTTAGTAACCATGGGTTGGAACAAGTTTCAAATGCAATATATCCACTTTCGGTATCTTTCCCCCACCCCTGTATATGAGCAACAGAGACTTAACCTAAATATCCTTATTTTGTCTTTTCTTCATTTGCAATTGCTGTTATCTAGTTTTTTCAAACTGTTTTTATGTCTTAAAACATTGTTAGTTTTGTACTTGAGTGTAACAACATTTAAGAATGTATTAAGTAAGGTAAAACTTAATTTTTTTTTCAATTGGAAAGTCAGATATACAGAGAGAATATGGGTCTCTTGTGAGGGTGCAGGGTCCCAAAGCTTTGGGCTGTCAGTGGCTGCTTTTCTGGGACACAAGCAGGGAGCTGGTTATTGATGTGGAGCATGAGGGATACTGGCACCCATATGGTATCCCAATGTGAAAGGCAAAGAGTTTAGCCACTTGACTACTGTGCAGGGCCCATAAGATAAAAATATTTCCCTGTTTTTTCACTTAATTTCTCCAAACATCAAAAAATATATAAATAATTACAGATAAACTCAATATTTTTATCTATTCATCTTAATTTATATATGTTGGGTTATTTTTAATTTTTTATCTGAAAGACAGATTGACAGTAGGGGCAGATAGATCCTCCATTCATCAGTTCACTCTCCAAATGGCTGCCAATGCCATAGCTGACTCAGTGGGAACCCCCTCCAGCTCTCCCATGTTTGTGCAGTGGCCTAAAAATTACAGCCATCTGCTTCATTCCCAGGTGATAAGTAGGGAGGTAAATATAAAATGTAGAAGCTTGGATTCCAATTGTCATAAGATGCTGGCACTCCAGGCAATGGATTAGCTAGACCATCACTGACAGTCCTAGTTTTTTTAAATGTAAAGTGAAAAAATCCAAAAAGAGTGGAGAGAGAAATGTAAATTGTGCCACGTGCATAAGAATGTTATGAATATTCAAGACAGGTATGAGAGATGTGTTTTGTCTATTGTAATTACTAGCATTGTAATAGATAGTAATTTTATAAAGGAGACACACCATAGGGCAAATAAAATAGAATCGTATAGAAAAAAATAACTGAAGGAATAGTAGAGTGCTTTATCAAGGTTTATGGAAGATGAATCCTACATGGAATTAGATTTCCTGAGATTAGAAAAAAAAATTCTTGATATTATCTAAAAATCAAGCATAAGCCACAAAGGCACACTCCATGAAGCTAGAATTTAGATACCATAAATTTAAACAAGCTTTTATGTTAATAGTTTATAAAAACTTTTGATTGCTTTCAGAATCTTTTTTTCATAGAAGTGTTTTATTTTCAGCCTTTTTAAAATTGTTTTTTTTTAAGATTTATTTTTATTATTTTTTACTGGAAAGGCAGATATACAGAGAGGAGAGACAGAGAGGAAGATCTTCTGTCCGATGATTCACTCCCCAAGTGAGCGCAACGGCCAATGCTATGCCGATCTGAAGCCAGGAGACTCTTCCGGGTCTCCCACGTGGGTGCAGGGTCCCAAAGCTTTGGGCCGTCCTCTGCTGCTTTCCTGGGCCACAAGCAGGGAGCTGGAAGGGAAGCGGGGCTGCCGGGATAGAACCAGTGCACATATGGGATCCCAGACGTGCAAGGCGAGGACCTTAATCACTTGTGCCACTGCGCTGGGCCCAAAATTATTATGTTTTAACAATCTTTACATAGTTAATTAGGGTAAAAAGTTTCAAAGGCCACAGGAAAGTGAGTAAGACTATTATTTTTTCCACATTGTTTCCTTCATCTTTAAAGTAGGGATTAAGGGAAAAGGCCCACCCAATTTCCCACCCTCCCCAGGTCCCGGATGTGGGGTATTCTCTGAGGTTCTTGCTCAAGTGGTTTTGATATTTCAACAGTTATGAATCACTGCCAATCTTGCCATTCCAAGCACTATGAGGTCTTTGAAGAATCCACTGCTTGACATAGTCCATCATAGAGTCTCTGTTTGCCAACATATAGCTGAGATGGTTGGTTGACCTGTTCTGTCTTCTCTCTTTTCTTGGTTAGGGTTCTGAGTCCAGCATTTTGATTGGGGAGATCTCCAAAGAAACTTTGTCTGAGGTCTTCTCAAACCAGATTCTTGTATGTGCTAGCAAGTACAGGGCCCAGCACAGTCCATCTTTTCTTTTTAAATTCTTTACACCCCTTTTCTGAGGCATTTTTATTTGTTTTGTGTTGAATTTAATTACACCTGTTCAACATGTAATCAATTCTCACGTAGTTCTTTACCTCTGTTTTCTTCTAATATATTTAAATTCTCCCAAGTAAAGAGAAGGTGTCATTTGTTAACTATTTTATACATGGATTTTCTTACGTTTTTCAACTGTCTTGCTAAACAATGAATTTGTACATCTTTGGTTATGTCTCAAGTATTTCCTTCTATATTGAG